TCTGTTTCAGGTTGAGTCAAGCCCAGGTGGTAATTAATTTTAAATTCTCACAAAAGTAATTTCTATTTTTGAGACTTTTATGAAATAGTTAAGTTGGGTAACTAATCATTTTAAAAGGATAAACTGATAGGACAGCATTTAACTTTATTCTATTCTAACACAAAATACCTTGTATAGAAATTTAAAAACAATAATCAATATGCAAACTTTATCTCCTTACTCTAACGTTAGTATTCATTCAACAGCTAAAGTTTGTAGTTTAATGTAATAATTAATGCAGAAGGCTTCTGCATTGGTTGATACTGGATTCTGCTAGGTTTTCTTTTAAAATGTGCTATGTATCTTTTGAACACAACTAGCACTTAGGTAATAGAAGAGTCAGTCATGTGACTGATAATGTTCATAATCATTTTTAAGAAAGTACGATGTCTGAATAACTTTGTTTTGAAGCTGAAGAACTTTGTTGCTTTTTTCAATTTTACATGTCCAGAAAGAATTTCCGGTTTGATGGCTAATCAGTTAATAGAATATGTTAAAAAGATATGCGGTCTTGAACCATGATAAATGTTCCTGTTGACAAGTTAAAAGTGATAAAAATGTGACTTCAATTTAATTTGTCTGCCTATGGGAATATATTTGCAGTTTGGTGCACTTCATTTACATGCTTTATTTTTTTAGGCTATTTAGTAACCTGCCAAAGATTTTGTAAAATTTATTTTCAAACTTTGTTCTAGCAACTAGAAGAGGATGAAAATTGATAGGGTTTACTTCTTTTTTTCCATTTTCTTATAGAATTCTGTATGAATTCATTTTTTTTTTAATCACTTTAGAGAAAATTCTTCCAACTGAATTAATTGTGAATTCATAAATAAATTCTACAAAATCTTTTTATCATTTTTGAATTCAATGCTGAATTGCAATATGTGTGTTTTTCTTTTCCTTGAAGACCAAATTCCTTAAACTTGTATTCACTGAATGCAGCATGGTATGAATGATGATTTGGTAAACACAATCGTTCCCCTGATGCATCAACCGATTACACGATGGCCCTTCTTTGCCTTCTTAGGCGGAGCCATGTTCTGCTTGCTAGCTAGCAGCACATGTCACCTTCTCGCCTGCTACTCCGAGCGCCTTTCCTACATAATGCTGAGACTGGACTACGCAGGTATTGCTGCTCTCATTGCAACCTCATTTTACCCTCCTGTATACTACTCCTTTATGTGCAGCCCCTTCTTCTGCAACCTTTACTTGGGCATCATAACAGTACTAGGAGTTGCTACCGGTATATTCTCTCTCCTTCCAATGTTTCAGAGACCTCAGTTCAGGAAATTCCGAGCTTCCCTTTTCTTTGGAATGGGGATGTCAGGCATTGCACCTATAATGCATAAGTTGATTTTGTTCAAGAATCAGCCTGAGGCAGTACAAACTACAGGATATGAAGTTTTGATGGGAACATTGTACGGGCTTGGAGCATTAATTTATGCTACTAGGATTCCCGAAAGATGGAAGCCGGGTAGGTTTGACATTGCCGGACACAGTCACCAGCTTTTTCATGTCTTGGTCGTGGCAGGAGCTTACACGCATTATCATGCTGGGCTTGTATATCTCAGGTGGAGGGACTTGGAAGGTTGTTGATACAAATCAAACTTTCTGGTATATACTCTCTTTGCTTTTGAAGATCTTATTTAATGAAAGAATTTCAAGAGTCATAAATGAAAAAAGTTTGGGAATCCTTACAATGGTGAGTCTCATGTGATAATTTTTTCTTTTGTCACGACAAGAGCTTCTTGAGAGGCTAATCCATTTTTAAACAAGTAGTTTGGTAGTCGAATATTTAAATATTTGAGTTTGATATATTTTAAATGTTATTAAGTTTAAATTCGATTCATAGCTCGAGTCAGCTTTATTTAAGGTTGGAACTCGACTCCAGGTAGATCATAACTCAAGAAGCTCAATGACTTTGAATATAGCAAAATTAAGCTTGCACTTGATAAAATTTTATTTTTGTAAAATATATAATAATATAGGATTTTGATAAAGTTTTTAAATTAATATATATGTATATTATATACTTTAATATATTAAGTATATTAATAGACACACATGATGTATATACTTGTGAGCTTTTAAATTATATATTTGGAGTTTTGAGTTGGGCTGGTTAAGTAAACAGGATTTTACTTTAATTTTCATTATCATTTACAATGTAACTTGTAAAAAATTGAATCCTTAATTTACTTTACAAATAAATTCTTTCTGATTAAGTAGATATTTTTACTTTAATTTTCTTGTTTTGTAAGATAAAAACAATGGGTTTATTGGGTTCTTAGAAGTAATTTTAATAAAATAAAAATAAGCACAATTATTTTTTTTATTTTTTTAAAATTATCTAATATTTACTTCAAATTATAGTAAGTTTATTTATAAAATTCTGTAACAAATATATATCTTTTATTAATTCTTTTATAAAACGTACCTATTGTTTTAATCAATACTTTATTTAAAGACTGAAATAAAGTTAATTAAAAATAAAAAATTTATAATTAAGTTAATTAAAATACTTCGATATTTAAATGCAATTTTCTAAAAATATATTTTTAAACCCTGAAATTATCCTCATTATTATCACAGCATGTACAAAAAATGTTAGTAATTAGCTCCATCGACATGGAAGTTTATATTTCTAAAACTAACTTGGGCCCATCGTCGCCCACAATTTTACCACGTGTGGGCAATCATTAAGATCGTTAGATTTCACGCACGTATGTGTATTATTATTTATATATAAACACGCATATACATATATATACTATAATGGACCTTCTTTGCATGACTACATACATAAACGAAAATAAATGTTTTCATGAAAAATATAAATAATAATTTGTTTATTTATTTTTCTTGTCATCTTAAAATTTTCAAATAATCAATTATCCAATTAAAAAAAAAAAAGCTTGATTCTTTTTCTTTTTTTTTTTTAATAATTTTTTACACCTCTAACTCATACACACACACACACAATGGATCATCAAAATTACTAAAAATTCAAATTAAAAAAATAATAAACTTTTTTTAAAAAAATTATTCTAATAAATAAAGAAAAAAGAATAAGAAACCTCACTCCATATTAAGAATCTATTTTTGCTGCACTTTAGATTTTCTTAAATGAATTTATTTTTATAAAATAATTGAATTTTTAAAATTTGAGCATAAATTTTTCTTTAAAATAAATCAAAAAAATTCATTTTATTATATGAAATTAATTAAAAATAAAAACACATAATTAAGTAATGAATTAATGCCGTGAAGTTCTATTATCATAGTTTTTACTGTATATATATATATATATATGTATATACATACATATACATATACATATACACTCATGGAATAGGAAAAGAAGCTACCCTTAACTTCATGTCGAATAATTTGAACGAAACAAAACATACGTAGAAAGTATAATTGCTATTTATGATGAGAAAGACGTTAAATTATCAAAGTCAGTAGCCTTATTCAAATGAACATTACCTAATCATGTAGGTTTATGTTTCTTGCAAAAATCCCAGATCAAATATCATTCATTTGTACGAATGTATATATATATGCATATGCACATACACATGTGGGGTTGGCTGATTTGGGAAGATCTTTATGGAAATTGTGTAGTGAGGATAGAATTTAATAAGATTAAATAAGCTTCATCTATATTTCACAATCATTCGTGCAGTCAAATTAATGTGACATATTGAGTTGTATCCAAAAAAAATTAAATTAAATTAAATATGAACGTGTGTGTGTGTGTTGTATATGTACATATAAATTAATAATTGAAATAGGCATCTCATGTGCTCTCTCTCAATTTTATTTTATTTTTAAAAAATTCGAGGCTAAATTAATTAAGAAAGAGAGACCCAAGAATGAGATAGAATTGACTTTTTGGTTCAATCCTGTTGACTGAGGATCATTTTTTATACCCAAGTTTATCAAATTTTAAATTTAAAAAATATAATATTTTACAAATTTTTTTGTCGTTAATTTATATAAATCACAAATTTGCTGCAATAATTAAAATTAAGAGTTAATTTCAATATTTAAGTTCAAAACATCTGAAATTTTTCAATCAAGTTGTTTATTTATTTATTTATTTATACAGTTTTACTAATTAAACTAATGGGTAAATTATAATAATATATTTATTTTTGTATGATAAAATTTGAATAATTCTCAATATTTATAAACATATAAATTTTATGTACACAGCAAACAAAAATGGTAATGTGTTAAGAGGTGTTAACATTTGTTGGGGGGAGGGACCAGACCATATTGGTAAACTCGAGGTTTGAAGCCCATACTCCGGTAACCATATATATATATATATATATATATATATACACATATACGTATATCATCACATTATTTTCCAGAGTTGAAAAAAAAAAAAAAAAAGATCAAATATTTTATGCCAACCAATTTTTTTAGTTTTAAAAAACAATAATGAGGAAATCCGAAATAGAAGAAGTAGAAGGTACGAAAATCGCGGAAGAAGAGGAAAAACCCAATCGACGGAGTCGTTGATGGACTACTGGCGAAGGGCCACAAGCCACCAAGAGCCCATGTGCGTATCAGTTTAGTGTCTCTCTGGGACCAATTTTTATTTTCACCCCCCACATAAAATATAATGTTTAATATTTATATAAACAAAATTTACACGAAAATACAGATATGCTCTGAATTTATTTCGAATAAAATATATATTTGATAAATTTAGGATTTATGTGGAATTACACAAGTATTTATATTGTATGGTCATTCTAAAATTATAAAAAAAAAAAAAAAAAATTATTATCATATATATAGTATCTTATAATTAATTAAATTATATAGAATTAGAAAAGAATTCCATAAAATATATTTGATAGAGTTTAAGGAGTGGTGTAATCCTTGATTCCTGCCTTTTCCCTTTCTTAAATGCCACACCTCATTAATTATTGATGGCCTAGTTTGCAGCTCTTCCATTGCAACTCTCCCTTCATTGCATGTGCATGCTGCAACTGAAAATTCACTCCTTAAAAAACTACTCCCTTTAATTCATCTTTCATCATCATCATCATCATCATATCTCTTATACATTACATACGTATATATATATATACACACACACACACACACACACACACCCACGCACCTATACATTAAATAGTATTTATTGCATATTATTTAAAAATGGACAAGTAATGAATCCTATTAGATAGAAAAATCATATCAATATCTATCCTCTCACCTCCTCTAAATTTGTTCTTCTTTAGTTCTAACAGTATATGTATACGTATACGACATATATGTATCTACAAACACAAAATGGTTCAAATTCAATTAACATAAATGATTGATCTTTATCCCTAGAATACTAGTCGTCAACTACTATAGCAAATGTCAGGCCTTAGATCTAAAGAGAATATTACACGAAGACTGTGTTTTAAAATTCTAAACCCAATTAAAATTAGAACTAAAATCTAAAAAAAAAAAGATATTTTAATTAATTATTTATTTTGGGTATCAGTTGGTACCCCTGAGAAATTGAGATAGAGCAAGAACATTATTTAGTAGGGGCCCAAGAACAGCTATGTTGAGTGTACTAAGGTGGATTTTCAACCTTAAAATGGGAATTGTGTTTGTCGCATATAAGCAAAATGAGCATTATGTTTATATATATATACTACATATACATATGTATGTATATTTATATATTACAGTATGTAGTTACACTTAACATCTCCTTGGTACACTCATTTGTGTGTCTTTCTATTTTTCTCCTAACTCCTCCATTATTGCCTACCTCCTGTACTATTCTAATAATATTTACACTTTTTGTTTAATTTTCTTGCTAGTAAAATACTTGCCTAGCCACAATTATTGATCGCTTAATGCCAAAACCCAAAAGGGTAAAGAGATAGAGCACATATATATATATACATATATATATATATATATATGTGTTGAGTGAAACTAATCCTTGAGAAATGAGAATTATATATTATACACACACATACCCCACATGCGTATAAGTGTAATTATGTATGTAGATTTTGATATGTTTGGTATTCTCTATTCAATTCATTCCTTGTTTTGATAGAGAGAACATAAACATGATAAGGTTAGCTTAATTTTCAAAGAACAACACAATTTAAAGATTAAGTACTTTAATCTAAATTATCAATTATCAATTTATAAAGGTTGTATTCTTTGTGTTTACAAAATTTTTAGAGTTTGATTTTAATTTTAATTATTTATTTTTTTATAGAAAAGAATGAAAATATTAATCATCCAAAAAAAAAATTATTGGAGAATGATTAATTTAAAAATAGGAAGAGAAAAAGCATTATGTTGGGTAGAAGATATAATGTATAAAGAGGTTAATATATATATATATATATATGTATATGTAAAATATAAGTTAGTGAGTCCCAACCCAATTATAAATACCAACAAAGACATGCACGAGCGTCTCTAGTTCCCCTGTTGAAGGGTATTCAACAACAGTCTTAATGATAAAAACATGAATGATGAGGACACACACATACATATCATATATTATTTAGTTTTACAATTTATATTATCAACAACTGTATTCCAATTTGTTGTGTGCACTCATCTAACACTTTATATATATATATATATATACATACATATATACTCTAAATCTTTCACTTTCCATAGTTTGTTTGATCTATATAAACATAAATACAATTTCTTATACTTTTATTAAAATTAAAATGATGGAGATCAAAACTTTTTTCACTCGACTTTAATTTTTGAAATGCTCACGTCCAAAAACTTTTAGTCCTGGTTGGTGCAATGTTATACGAATTATATTCCTCCAACTTTAAATAATTTATCCAAGGTGGGAAGAAAGGTTATCCAATCAATACCCTTTAAATTCTTGTATTCCTGTTAGGCACGCACCAGCTTTTTTCCATTCAATTTTGGTTCTAACACCTTGTTTTAATTTAATTTGTTAGTAAAAATAAATATATATCTAAATAAATAATTATAATAATTGATTTACTAAAACTAAATAATTTAATGATAACATTATGATATGAAATTTTAATAAATCTAATTATGTTTTTAGGTAAAAATGAAAAGTAATTGAGTTATCTTAATTAAAATAATCACAATAAATTAAAATTTTAATATTCTAATTATTGAAAAAATTAATATATATATATATATGTATGTATGTATACACAGAGAGAGAGAGAGAGAGAGAGAGAGAGAGAGAGAGAGAGTTAAATTTTGTTAGGAGATAAGCATGAATATGACTTGTGTTATCAAAGTGATATCTGGTAGCCATATATTGCAATCATAAGAAAAAACGTGTCGCCATTGTAGACTCCAACATGTACACAACAGAAGAGGATATGAGGTATCACTTGTAATCATCAAACACCCACTTCCACTACCTCATATATACATATATATATATATATCTATGTATAGAGAGAGAAAGAGAGAGAGAGAGAGAGAGAGAGAGAGAGAACCAAATAATTAAAAATAAAAAAGATGTATATATATGTCTTCTCAAAAGAAAATAATATAAATTTAGTAGAAAAGTCTTTGAAAGTTGTTTATAATTAAAAAAATATACGTCCAAGGAAGGAAAGCAGTAAAATAAACTGTTTAAGATGAATTGTCAATAATTTAATAATATTTGTTTTGTACATCAAACCTTTAACTGCCTCTCGTGTAAATTAATAAATAAATAAATAAATAATGCTCAAAGCCAACTGGCAATTTTGATTTGTTGCACAAACAGATAAAAATGGAGAGGTCCATGGCTCTTTTGCAAAGGACAAAATTAGTGTGTAGGATTTCACTCTCGTTCCTTTTCTTTTCTTTTCTTTTCTTTTCTTTTCTTTTCTTATTTTCTCACAGAAAAAAGTGCTTATATATTTTGAGAAGAAGAAAGGAGCTATTTCTTCAGAGGAGAACCCATCTGGAATCTTGCTTGTTACGAAGAAAGACATTAATGGATATTCCAGCTTCTCAACACGGCAGTGATGGTGATGAGTCTGGTTGGACTCTGTATTTAAACCATTCTTCTTCTTCTTCTTTTTCAAAAGATCACTGCTATGGTTATGGTGATTATTATGGAGGTAACAATGGAGGTAGTAGAATCCACGAAGATGATGGTGATGAGGATTTGTCAATGGTGTCTGATGCATCTTCTGCTCCTAGACATTACTGTGAAGATGACGAAGATTGCTCTTATGGAAATGGGTTTTTTTGCTCTAATGTTCTTCCTTCTGCAACTGAAGGATTAGCCAAGAAGAGTAGTGAGAAGAAGAAGAAGAAGAAGAAGACTAATCAAGAATATGGGAGAAATTACCAGAGACATTCTTGTCTTGACGACACTGCTAGCTCCCCTGTAATTGGCTTTTCTAAGGCAAGTAATTCCAATCACACATGCATATTACTTTCATCTATAAATATACATATATACATATATGTGTGTGTGTGTGTGTGTGTGTGTGTGTGTGTGTGTGCTCTAATGTATTCCCGATGTTTATACATACAAAAGAAGTTCAGTCTCTCCAAGAACAAAGCTTCAACGGATGAGCATGTCGTGGATTTCTCACATGGCTTCTCTGCAACATATTTTGAGGTATTCCCCACTAACCCACGACTCTTTTCTCAATATATAGATGTAGATGTAGATATACACACACACACACATGCTTATGTATAATCAAAATAACCAATTGTTTCCAGGGAAA